TATAAAACTTAAAAGTACTCGAAAAACAATATTTTAAATAATAAAAATTGCTATAAAGTAAACGTAAAACGTAATTAACGTATTTAACAGAATTTTAACAAATTTAGAATAAAACGATTTATAATTAAAAAAAACAATTTGTTTCTAAAATGTAAATTAGAAAAAGAAAATAAAATCATAGATTAGAAATATTTCTAGAATTCCATAATTTTTAGTCGAAAATGACGAGGAAAATATCTTTTTTTCCCCAATTTTCTAATTTTATTTTTCTATCAATATAATATTGCCGTAAAAGTATATTCATTAAATTGCCAAATTTCTAAAGAAGAAAATTTGTATTAATTAAAATTAAATTATGGTATGAAGACTAGTTTTCGTAAATAACAAAAAAGAATTAATTTTGAAATTTAATTCACGTTTTTTTTTGGGGAAAAATTGTTAGAAAGTAGCAAGATTGATGGGCAAAGGCCTCGGTGTGTTCGCGTGCGATCTCCGGAAGATCGAAAATTCTCGAATGAGAAATTCTTCGATCTAATTGGCGGTGTAAAAAATTTTGAAAAATAGCACGATCTTTCGAAAAAGAAATACACACTCACACACGTCTCATCAAGCTTTCTCTTTCTCTCTTTTTAGCCTCTCATGAAATCGGTCACACTTTTCCTCCAAAAAAGCACAAAGTTTGACACTCATTCTCTCAAGTGCAAATCCACACTCATCGTTTTCTTTTTTTTTTCATCTTTTGTTTGTCTTAAATTTTTTTTCTAATCCCTAAACCTTAGAATTTTTATACTTGGCATACCCCAAATATGGCAGGAAGGCAATCATTACACTTAATAACTTACAGCGATCTCTTTCTCTCTTTCTTTTTCGCCGCTAACGCCTTTCATTTTTTAGCCGCCGTCCAAATTTCATTTGTCTTTTTGTTATTCATAAATTTTAGTTAATTTTGTACATTTATTTATTTTTCTTTTGCGCCTCTCTTCACTTTTTTTTTTGTTTTTAATTTAAGTATATCGGTAGCGGTAGCAGCGGTATGACAGCTCATTTTTTTTTTTTTAATCGTCAATTATTGCTCTTTGAGAAATCACAAAAATAATCTTTTTCACAGTGCATTTTGGAATTGATGGTTTTTTAGTGCACACATCTTCTCTCTGGCCCTGTGTGAATAATAAAAGAGCAATCCTATATCCTATTTTCTCTGAACCTTTCTAGAAAGTTACACGTGCCGATGGCGCGCGCACTCTTGTGCTGCACGTCCGTCGTTGACTAGAAAACGCTGGCCTTTGTAAAAACATTTTTTTTTATTTTATTTTTATTTTAAACGGTTCGCTCTATCGCAAAGCGAAATGCGTTTCAGCAGCTTGAAAGCACGTTACGCACGACGCACTTTAAAGAAGTTTTTTCTCTAAAGTAAAATCATAAACCCCCTTAGAAAAAAACCAGCTATTTTCTTTTATTTTTAAATCCAAAACTTTTTCAAGTGTTAATTTTTTTTATTCTAACATTTTTTCTTCAAATTAAGTTTTTCTTTTTAAAGAAGGAAAATTTAATATTCAATTTCTGGATTTAAAAGTAGCGTTAAAAAATATTTTCTTTGTAAAATATCTCTTTTTATTCTAATTTCCCTTTCTGTTGATTTTCAAATCGAAAGAATGAAAATAGTTTTCTCCCTCAATACATTTTTTCTTTCTAAATTGTAAACCCATTTCTTTTATGAATCATTTGAATTTTACATAATTTTTTATGACCATTTAAATACCAATAGTTTTTGTTTTTTAGAAAAAGAGATGAATTTTTTCAAATAATAATTTTTTGTTTTCTTTTGGAGATTTTTATTTTTACATGGCACAAAAATTTTTAAATGGTACGATTTTTTAAAGCTTCTCTTGATTCTTTTTTCTTTTTGAGTGGTTTAATCTCATATAGCTGGTTTTCTACTTTTTATATTTGTTCTGCTTTTTGAGTCCTTCAAAAAGGATTTAGAATTTTACTAAATATATTGTTTTGATGACTTTTATATAAAATAAAAATACAAATGAATATTTCTAACTTTCAGTGATCACATCAGCTACTAAATAATTAATCCTAATAGTTTTTTCTTTAAAAAAAAAAGTATTAGATACTCGTATACTTTCTTATTTAACAATCGCATGTTAAAAATGCTAAATCTGATAGATATTGTGACTTAAAAAATAAGTCGAGTTTCAATAATATTACAATTTCTATTCTACACGAATAAGAGTTTTACAATCCACTTTTTTTTCACTTTAACTTCTACAGTCTTTTTGTCGAAATGAAGGTGAGATATTTCGTTTAAAAAATTGTTATAGGTAATATATATTATAATATACACTATATTATAATATATATTATATTACAAATATGTTAAAAATATTATTTTACAGTAAAAAGAAAAATATTTTATTTTTTTGATTTTTGCATTTCTACATCACAGCTAGAAACACAAAGTATTAATATTTCACCTTGCATCTCATCTTTTCGAAGGACCCTATCAACTTTTTCTCTTTTTTTTATTTTTCTTTCATTCACTCACTCTCTCTCTCTCTCACTCACTCTCTCACGAACGTAAAATATAACGCGAGTATTCTATAATACAGGAAGACTTATCAAAAACACCAGAAAACGAAAAAAAAAAAAAAGAAAGTTTCCTCGTGACGATCGACAATTCGTCATCGAGTCTCTTCAATTTGGCACGTGTCACTCTGAAGAAAGGATCCCAAAAACTTTTTACCGTGATATCGACAATTTGAGAGGCTCTTCACTCTAAATTAATAACTTCCGAGCCATTAATTTTCACAAAGATTTTATAGAGTTCAGACTTCAAAGAATGTTCATCGTCTTTTTGTTTTAAATGCATTACGTTTAAAATTGGAATTCTTAGAATTTATAATTCTTTGGAATATTTATTGACATTCTTTGAAGACTCGTGAAAACTCTTGATATTAGAATGCAAAAAAAAAGGAAAATGGAAAATTTTCATTTTATCATTTTTTAAAAAATATATTAGAATTATTTATTCGTAGGAATGTTAAATGAAAACCCCTGTTTTTTTCAAGCTTTGAATTCTTTTTTTCGGTTTGGGAATTTTTTTTTTACTATTTTTTATTTGAAATTTATAGGAAATTTAATAATAATAATTATTAACTATAATAATTTGAATGTTCTTTCAATTATTTATTTTGCATTATTTTTCTTTATGAATCACAATTTTTTAAACAAAATTATTATTTTGTTTTAGAAAAAGAAGAAAAATATTGAAAGAAAGATAGAATCATTATTTTTATATTATAAGAATATTGTTACTGTAACTTCATCAATATTATTTTCATCATTTTAATTCAATTATTATTTTCTATAATTTAAAATTATTTTTTATGAAAATAATAATTGAATTCCTTAAAAAAATTTTATTACTTATAAAAATAATTGAATTGCAGTCAAATTTTTATTATTTATGAAAATAATTAAATGTTTGCATAAAATTTTATTAACAATTTTTTTTAAATAATTGAATTCTTTTTGGGGAATTTTATTAAAATAGTAGATATTGAAAATCATTGAAATTAGAAAAATTTTTGAAAATAATTAAAAGTAGGACAATTTTTTTTGAAAATTATGAAAATAATTGAAATTTGGAGAAGAATGTTGTTATTTATAAAGATAATTGGAATTTTTTTTCAAATTTTGAACATATTTGATTTTTATAAGAAGAATTTCATTTTTTCTTCAAATAATTGAATTTCTGCAATTATTTGAAAATTTTATTATTTTATTTAACAATTTTTTCGAAAAAATCAATTTTGTTTTGAAATTAGATTTTTTATTTATTATAAATATATTTTAATAAAATTTTTTTTAAATAATTGCACTTTTCGCGGAATTCATTTAAAATTGTATGAAAAAATAATTGAAATTCTACAATGATTTTTATTATTTATAGAAATAATTGAATTTTTGCATCGATTTTAATTGAAAAAAAAAATTAAATTCTTAAGAAAAATGTTATTATTTAGAAAATTAATTGAATTATTGCCCAAAAAAAATTGATTAAAATCTTTTTAATCATTCAAATTTTGCAAACAATTTTATTATTTTTGAAAATAATTTAATTTCTCAGAAGAATTCTATTATTTACGAAATTAATTGAATTCTTTCCAAAAAATTGATTAAAATCTTTGAAATAATTTGAATTCGTCAGAAGAATTTTATTATTTTTCGAAATACTTGAATTCGTCAGGAGAATTTTATTATTTATGAATATAATTGAATTTTTGTGAAGAATTTTGTTGAAATTTTAAAAAATAATTGAATTCCTTTGAAAAATTGAATTATTTGTAAAAAAAATTGAATTTTTTACAATAATTTTGATTAAAAAATCTTTGAAATAATTAAAATTTTGTAAAGAATTTTATTATTTTTGGAAATCATTGAATTCTTACGAAAAATTTTAATATTTTTTATATTAATTGAATGTTTGAGAGGAATTTTTGAACATTTTTTTTTTTTTAATAATAGAATTGTTTTGTGAAATTTTAGTGAAATAGTAATTAAAATTTGAATTCTTTTTGGGAAATTTTATTAAAATAGTAGATATTGAAATCTTTTTTTTTTTAAATAATTGAATTTCTGCAATTATTTCTAATTTCTTTAAAATTGAATTTTTTTTTTTAGTGTTTTCAACATGAATTTAAATTAGAAAATTTTTAAATTCTATTATTTTTAAAATTACTAATTGTATTTGAAAAAGGTAGTGAGAAGTTAGAATTGTTGCTAGTTATAAATTATTATTATTATTGTTAATGTAAATAAAAATTATCTTTCGGAAGGAATTTTCAAGAATATTTTTCGAATTTCTTTTTTATATTTTTTCTTCCGAATAATTGTAGCGATTTGTAAAAAAAATGATTCTTGTAAAGATCATGATTAAAATTTTAGAAAAAGAACATTTAAAAAATATTTTTCAGCTTTATTAAATATTAATATTAAATATTAGCAACTCCAAAGATAATTTTCAAACAGATTTTCAAAATTGACAATTTGTTTTAATTTTGTAAAATTTACTACAGTTTGGGGAAAAATGGAGAATTTTTACTGTCTAAAAATAAAAACAGAAAAAATTCGGACATGAAAAATTTGCGCATTAGTAAACAATCTGGAAAGTATAATTACAGGTGTAATTATTACCTTTTTAAAAAAATATTTCTGAATTTAAAAAAGATAAATTCATTAAAGATCTAGTCTCTTAGTAAAACCAAGTTGTTACGAGATAACAAAGCATCAGAAATAATTTTTTTTACAATTCGTCATAATTTTTTCCTGTTTAGGCAAATAATTTAAATTAATTAATTTTAATTTAATCAACTTGTAACAAATAATGAATGAATTTTTTTGAAGTAGAAAAAATGAATTCAAAGACTTTGAAAATCGAAAAACATAAATTGGAAGTTAATAATGAAGAGTCGATGGCCGAGGGTAAATTTTTATTTGTTTGTTTGTTTTTTTTTTTGAAAAAATAAAAGCGTTTTGCTCGAGCTGGCTTAGAATAGGGCCCGCGATTGGGGCCTTTTTTTTTTTGCTCAGTATCACTGAAATGAGTAGACGAGGCGTCGGTCAGCCGTGAATCGTCTTTTTTGCGAACTCTTAAAAACTATTATACATTTGGCATTAACGTATAGTATCGTATATGCGTAAGTATAAATAACATATAGTACTTGCTCTTACCTCGCGTCATTTTCGCGACGGCACCTACATTTATATGCATATTTTTAATGCGTCCATCGACACGACACGATTATCTAGACTGGAAAGTGGTGCAGCGCTCTAAGGCGGCAATGCAACCAGGTTTCTACGGTATTTACTAAAATAAAAAAAAAAAGTAAAAAAAAAAACAAAAAAGAATAATTATTGTAATAATAATAATAAACGATACGTGGGTGCGAGCGATTTTTTTGGCGTTCGCCAGCCAATCACCGGGACTCGAAAATTCTTTGAGGGGGGATGGGGGAGGTATCGAGTCCTGATGACGAGAAGAACCGGGACTTACAAGTCATTTTCTAAAAGCTACTTTTCGTCCTCTGATTTTTTTTTGAAAAATCTTTTTTTTTGATTGTTAGCCTCGCCTTGTAATCGACGCTGTCCTCCTTGTATACGTAAATAATACCCTCTTCTTAATTATCTTACTTATTATATAAGCACTCGTATGTATATATGTATATCCGAAAGAAGCGCCAGGAATCTCGGATAAGGTATTTTCGATCCTGGTCTCGACCTTCTTTGATATTCCCAATGAATTACGACAATTTGGCGAGACCTCGAGATTCGGAAGCGCGCGAACGACCCCTGAGTGAGTGTCTTGTTATCGTATACCTCTGGAAGGTCATCGCAATCACCTCGTGTGTTTTATTTTTTTCCTAAGAAGAAAATTCCTAAGAATTTTTCAGAATTTTTCGCTTTTGTTTTTCTTCTTCTTCTTCTTCTTTTTTTTTGATAGCTTACTATTCGCACCGAGAGTCCGTGAGTGGTTCGAGTTTCACTGAAATTTTGTCCTTTTCTTTGAGACTGTGCGGACTTTTGACGAGATCGGCAATGTCCTCTTGGAAGAGTGTTTCGGGCCGTGGACTGACGAAACTTCGAGCTGGCTTGTAGGTCATTCCACTGACGCCAATGCCAACTTCGACACTGCTGGGTAAATGTCCGGGATCCATTAGTGGACCGAGAGGACTCGCCAGGGGACTTTCCATTGGACTTTCGGGTGGACCTGAGCCTGGACTCGCCAGGCCGAGATTCAGTGGTGAATTGCCATTGTTGTTGCTATTACCACCGAGACCACTGGTGTTATTGTTGTTGTGATGATGCAGGCTCGCTTGCTGCATCGCCGCTTGGAGATTCGACGAGAGACTTGTCGAGAGATTCGTCGCGAGCATATCGTGTTGTGAGTGCGCCGCTGCTACCATACTGCACATCTGATGCCTTAGACCTGCGAAATTTCGAATTTAATTAGAAAATTTTGGTTTTTTTTATCTTTTTTGAGAAAGAATTTATAGTTTTTCGATTTAGATAAGCTGAATGAAAAATAGGAGAAAGGGGAAAAAAGATAAAGAAAGATGTAAATAGTAGGACCGCAATGTAAATAATATTAAAATAAGAGTAAATATTATAAGCTTCAATTTTAATGACTAGGCGAACAATTAAATTAATTTAGCCGTAAACAGGGTTGCCACAGGTCAGGGAAAATTAAGGGATTTTTATTAAAAGTACTGAAAAAAATTTAATTTTTAGAATTCAAAAGAAAATTCTGAATTTTTGTGTTTTATTTTGTTTGACTCATAAACTATGAAATTACCACGAAACCTTCAATTTTTTCTATTTCTGCCAATAATTTCTAATTAAATAACTTCAATCACAAATTGAATGAATTTAATTAGAAATTTTAAACAACTTAGATTTTTGAAAAATTGTAATTTTTCAAATTCTTCTGGAATTAGTTAAATTTTTTAATATAAATATCTAATTAATTACTAAAAATAATGGATTAATAGAAAAATTTTAGTTATTTTATAAATAATAAAATTCTTCTCCAAAATTCAATTATTTAAAACAAAAATTTAATAAATTTCTTGGCAAAATTTCAATTATTTTCAAAAATTTTTAATACCTACTATTTTAATAAAATTTTTCAAAAGAATTCAATTATTTAAAACAAATTTTGATAAAATTGTACAAAAACACTGAATTGTTTTCAAAAATAATAAAATTCATCGCAGGATTTCAATTAATTGTAATACAATTTTACAGGAATTGCTAAAAAAATGTAATTATTCTTAAAAATTTGATTTCAAGTTTTCGAAAAAAATCAATTAAGTGAAAAAATTTTTTCTTAATTCTTTGGAAGAATTCAATTATTTACAAAAATATTAGAATTTTTCACAGGAATTCCATTATTTTCGAAAATTTTAATAAATCCTTCGAAACAATTCAATTATTTTTATAAATATTTCTTTTAATTTTTAATTATATACTTTGAAAAAATTCAATTATTTTCTTAAATTTTAATAAATCCTTCATAAACTATACAATTTTTTTTACAAAGATTTAATTATTTTCTTAAATAATACATTTTTTTTAGAAATTCAATTATTTTTATAAATAATAAAACTCATCGCAGAATTTCAATTATTTTCAAAAGTAATGTAATTTTTCGCAAATATTCAATTATGTTCAAAAGTTTAAAAAAAATTCTCGTCAAAATTTCAATTATCTTTGTAAATAATAAAATTCTTATCCGAAATTAAATTATTTAAAAAAAAATTTTAATAAAATTCTTGGCAAAATTTCAATTATTTTCAAAAATTTTCTTAAATTCAATGATTTTTAATATCTACTATTTTAATAAAATTTTCCAAAAGAATTCAATTATTTAAAACAAATTTTGATAAAGTTCTACGAAAACATTTAATTATTTTCATAATTAATAAAAATATCGCAGGAATTCAATTATTTACAAATTTGTTATTTTCTTCGTAATAATTCCATTATTTTCATAAACTGTACTATTTTTAACAGAGATTCAATTATTTTCGTAAAAAAATTCTTTTTAGGAATTCAATTATTTTCATATAATAATAAAACTCATCGCTGAATTTCAATTATTTTTAATTCAATTTTAATCAAATTCCTAAAAAATGTATAGTTATTCTTAAAAATTTTATTAAAATTCGTCAAAAGAATTTAATGATTTAAAAATTTATTGGTAAAATTCTTTATGAGAATTCAATTTTCAGAAACATTCAATTATTCAATAAATTATTTATTTTTCTATTTAATTGATTGCAAAATGAATAAATAAATAAATAAATAATTGAATTCTCGTGTAATTTTCTAATAAATATTGATTAAAAATTTTATCTGGAAATCAGGGAAAAGTCAGGGAAAAACAAGATTAAATTTTTGTAGCAACCCTGCATAAAGTAGCCATAAATGTAAATCATTCAAAAATTTTAATTTCTTGAATTTTTTCTTCTTTGTTATTAAAAAAACACGAAAAAGAGTTTCATCAAGAACATTATTTACATTAAAAATTTTAATTTTTTGAAATTTTAATTCGTTAAAATTTCAATTTGTTGAAGTTTCAATTCGTTGAAACTCCAATTCGTCGAAAAATCAATTCATTAGTTGAGTTTTCAATTGATTTATTTAATAATTAAATTAAATTATAATTTGATGTTAATTTTTATTAGTTGAGCTTTCAATTAATTGAAATTTCAATTCTGTGAAGTTTCAATTTGTCAAAATTCCAATTCTTTGCTATTTTTAATTCCTCAAACTTTCCGTCATTTGGAATTGAAATTTTTTTGCCATTTGAAACAATTCAATTAAAAAATAACTATTAATTTGAATAATTTTATTTTATTTGTTTCAAAATAACAAAAAGTTAAATTTTCAATTGAAGAAAAATTTAAGGAATTAAAATTAATTGGAATTTTAATCAATTAAGATTTCAATTCTTTAAAATTTCAAGTTGTGGAAGGTTCAATTTCTTGAAATTCCAATTCGTTAAAAGTTAAGTTTGTTAAAAATTTAGTTTTAATAAATTTTCACTATGAAATACATAAGTATAACAAAATTAGCAGTAACTTTTAATTAGTAATAATACAACTATAGTAATTAATAAAGTATTGTAAATGATGTGATCATATAAATAAAAATAGAAAAGGCACACTTTAATATAAAATTATAGAAATTATTTTTGCGAGTTTAAAAAGGAGACAAATAATTGGAGAATGAAAAACGAAATTGAATATGCAAATGAAGGAATGATATAGCAATAAAAATATTTTTATAGATAATGTAAAATTTTCTCGTAAAATAACAAAGAAAGCTTTATTATTTTCTTTCTACTTATTTATGTTTCGTATATTGAGAAAATATTAGAAAGCGAAGTTTTTTCCGTGGAATTCGAAGGCAACTTGTATTTTTATTTTATCAATAAAATTCGAATTAATATTGTAGATATAATAATAGAAATTATAAATAAAAAATCAATATCAAAAGTATCAAATATCAAAATCGATATTAAAAGTAAAAAAAAAAATTATTTCAAAAATTTTAACATCTTTTAGTATAAATTGTAATAATAGTACTAAAATATAGAAAGATGTTAAAATTTTTTTGAAAACAAATTTTTATACGATAAATAAAACGATAAGTTTTATTTTATTTTATTGAAGTTTATTTATAACTGCAACAAGCAAGTTGTATACAAGAAAAGAATTGCCACTTAAAAGAATCGGTTAAATTGAAAGAAATGACAATATTAAAAGCATCGTGCAAGCAGCGCTCTTTTATACTACAGAAGATTTGCAACTCTTGTATGCACATGAAGCATAAATTTAATTAAATCTAGCGAGACAGAAATAAAAAACAATAAAACAAACAGCCATTGACAATATATATAAAGAAAGATGTTACATAAAACTGACAAATGCAAATTAAAAAAAAAAAATAATTCACAACAGCGAGAAAATAATAGAATAAAAATATTGACGAGAACATTTATATTTATTTCCACTTGATCGAAATATATACCTTGAATGTCAAACATGTGGTTGCCTTCAAATGATAGTTTCACTTTCTCCTTAGGACTTCGTCTTCTATAATTCTCTGTTTCGGAAATAAAGACAATTTTTAATCATTTCCACTGATTAATTTTATTATTGCTATTTTGTGTTTACACGAATTACAATAATTTCAGGGCTCAAAGTAGGTGCGTAAATCCTGAAAAAGTCCGTAACTTTGCTTCAAGTCTGTAAAAGTTAGTTTTTTGAGAAAAAGGTCCGTAAAGTCCGTAGTTTCATTCAAAAAGGATGAAAAGTTCGTAAATTGTACGATATAATTTTGAGAATTTTAGAGAAATTACAAATGATTGTAGAAATTCAATTATTATTAAAAGTAATAAAATTTTTCGCAGAAATTCAATTATGTTAAAAAATTTTTAACAATTCTCGCCAAAATTTCAATTATCTTTAGAAATATTAAAATTCTTCTCTGAAATTCAATTATTTTCAAAAAATGTAAAAAAAATTGTCAACTTTTCAATTATCTTTATATTGATTTTTTTCATTATAAAGATTTTTTACATTATTTACAAACCATGTTCAAATTTTTTATTCACAACACAACACTCAATTATCTTTATATATAAATAGTAAAATTCTGCCACAAAATTCAATTATTTTCAAAACTTTTAATAAAATTCATTACAAAATTTCAATTATTTTCAAAAGTTAATAAAATTCTTCGCAGAAATTCAATTATGTTCAAAAATTTTTAACGATTCTCGTCAAAATTTCAATTATCTTTAGAAATAAATAACAAAATTCTTCTCCGAAATTCAATTATTTTCAAAAATTTTATCAAAATTCATTACAAAATTTCAATTATTTTCACAATTAACAATATTTATCACACGAATTCAATTATTTTCTAAAGTAATAAAAGTCAATTATTTTCAAAAATTTTAATAAAATCAATTGCAAAATTTCAATTATTTTTAAAAGAATTAATATTCTTCGCAGAAATTAAATATTGTTCAATATCTACTATTTTCGTAAAATTTACCAGAAGAATTTTATTATTTAAAAAAAAGTTTAATAAAATTCTACAAAAACTTTTAATTCTTTTCAAGAAATAATAAAAATTCCACAAGAATTTCATTAAAAACAAATTTTTTTTTATAAATTTCTTCGCAATCATTCAATTATTTTCATAAATAATAACATTTTCACGGGGATTTAATTATTTTCGTAAATAATAAAATTCTTTTTAGGAATTCAATTATTTTCAATAGAATTTTAATCGAATTCCTCGAATAAATTCTTAAAAATTTCATTAAAATTCGTCCAAAGAATTTAATTATTTAAAAAATTTGTTGATAAAATTTTTAAGAGGAATTGAATTCCAAGAAACTTTCAATTATTCAATAAAATATGTATTTGCATTTTATTTGTATTTAAATAATTGAATTCTGGTAGAATTTTTTTCATAAATATTGATTCAAAAATAGATTTCAGTTAAAATCTTAGATTATAATAATTGAATTCTTTCGAAGAATTTCATTAAAATTTTAAAAATAATTGAATTTCTACAAAAAAAAAGTATTTAAATTCTTGCGAAAAATTTTTATTAAAATTTCTGAAAGTAATTGAAGATCTGCTAAGAATTTTGTTATTTTTAATTTATGCCAAGAATTTTATTAAAATTTTTTTAAAATAATTGAATTCCTGTTAATTATTTACAATTTAATTATTTTTGAAAATTTTAATAAAATTCTTCGCAAGAATTCAATTATTTTCATAAATAATAAAATTTAATGCAGAATTTCAATTATTTTATTTATTTTTAATACAATTTTAATCGAATTTCTCGAAAAATGTAATTATTCTTAAAACATTTATTAAAATTCGTTGATAGAATTCAATTATTTGAAAATTTGTTGATAACGATTTTTTATGGGAATTGAATTTTAAGAAACGTTCAATTATTCAATATATTATTTAATTGCATTTTTACATTTAAATTTGTATTTAAATAATTGAATTCTAGTAGAATTTTCTAATAAAAATTGATTTTTATTTCATAAAAATGAATTTTATTAAAAATTTTAGATAATTGAATATTAAAAGCAATATAGCGTGAATTTAAAAAAGTATCATTGAATTTTGTAATTAATTTTTTTTTGAAAATAATTGAATTTTTTTTTAAAATAATTGAATTTCTTTTGCAATTATTTTAAGTTTTTATTTTCTAATATTTTTATTTAATTAAAGAATTTACGAATAATTGAAATTTCGTAAAATTGAATATTGTAAAGAAATGAATTTGACAAATTGTCAAAGAACTTTTTCAAAAATTATTAAAAATAATGGATATAAAGAAGAATTTTAGATAAAAATTCTTAAAAATAATAATTGAATTGATAATGAATTTAATTATAATAAATTATTTTTATTAATAATTATTAATTATTATAAAACATGGAGAAATCGATGACTTCGAGTCGAAGACTCGGAGTTATCGATTTCTTCATGTTTTATAGAATTATGATAAAATTGAATTTCTAGTTTTAAGTAAAATGTTCTCTTATGATTCTATTTTTGTCAGTTGGTCCGTAATTTTTAATTTTTGGTTCGTAAAGTCCGTATTTTTAAATACTTTCACTGCTTCGTGCCCTGTAATTTTAATTCTAGATGCGCTCTTTTAAAACAAAAATCCTAATAATAATAATTTTAATTTTTCACATCTTTTTCACATTAATTCAACTTTTTCATATTCTCGTTCTAATTTTATTTAAAACGTTATTTTTATAATTATTAAAAAATTCTATGAAAAAATTCAATAGAACAGAAATTGAGAACTAATTAGTAACTAATAATAAAGTTACGATGAAAATAAAAGAATTTTTTTAATAATGAAAAGTTTTGTAGAATTATATGAAAGGCGAAATAAAAATATCGATATATAGGAGCGATAAAAATCAGTTTCTGAAATTGCTTTGTTTTCTCTCTGACGCGATAAAATCGAACAAGGATCGCAGTTATAAAGTTTATATATGTTTGCTTCGAAATTAAAAATAAAAAAAAAAGAAAGAAAGAAAAAAAAATGGCAGAACATGGATTAAGTTTTGATGTCGCTTTCGAGATATCAAGTATACACTACTCGAAACTCATATTTAATATTGTGAAATATGTATATAGGAAATGCGAATAAAAACTTTACCTTGTGCGACTGCTGCGACTGCAGCTGCTGCAGCTGCGCCAGGACTAACAGCACCTTCCGGTCCATTGCAGGCAGCGTAATTTGCCAAACTCGGATACATCGTCGCTGCCTCGTCTTTAATCATATGTGGCGAATGTCCATCGCGAAAAACGACAGCACGAATCACTCCTCGAATATGCTCGTCTGGCCAAACACCCAATAAAATCCTCTGCGGCCTTCCTCGTCCCTTTGGTCGAAGATCTGCAAATTTTTTCGATAAATCAGTTTTTATCAGGTTCTTCCTCTCTCAATTTAAATTAGTCGACTAAATCAGCTCTCTAAATTTAAATCAGTTAAAAATAACTGATTTAGAAGCAAAATGTCAGTCACTAATTCAAATAGTAATATTTCTATACTGACAATTTGTTAAAAATAATACTGATGTTTCAGTAAATTTTTTTTTGACTGATTAAATTAGTCAGACTGAACTAATTTTTCAGGTATCTTTTTACTGAAATTTTTTCATTCTCATTTTTCAAATTTTTTCACTGAAAGTCAGTTATTTTTAACTGATTCAGAAGCAAAAAGTCAGTCACTGATTGTCAGTTAAAAAAACGATGATTTTTAACTGATTCAAATTAAGAGCGAGGTTTGCCACAGGTTAGGGAATCAGGAGAAAAGTCAGGGATTTTTATTAAAAGTACTGGAGAAAATCTAATTTTTAGAATTCATAAGAAAATTCTAAATTTTTTTTTTTTTGACTCATAAACTATGAAATTACAACGAATTCTAAAAAAATCTTCAATTTTGTCTATTTCTGACAATAATTTCTAATTAAATAACTTCAATCATAAATAGATGAACTTAAAAGGGTATTAATTTGAAATTTTATAAAACTTCAATTTTGAATTAATTTAATTCGAAATTTTAAATAACTTAGATTTTTGAAACATTGTAATATTTCAAATTCTTCTGTAATTAATTAAATTTTTTAATATAAATTTATAAATATCTAATTAATTATTAAAAATAATTTATTTATAGAAGAATTTTAGTTAAAAACGATAAAAAATTTGCATTTTGGAGAAGTTACAAATGATTGAAAAAATTCAATTATGTTCAAAAGTTTAAAAAAATTCTTGTCAAAATTTCAATTATCTTTGTAAATAATAAAATTCTTCTGCGAAATTAAATTATTAAAAAAAAAAAATTTTAATAAATTTCTTGTCAAAATTTCAATTATTTTCAAAAATTTTTCTCAATTCAATGATTTTCAATATTTACTATTTTAATAGAATTTTCCAGAAGAAATCGATCGTTTAAAAAATTAAAGCAGATTTTGATAAAGTTCTACGAAAACATTTAATTATTTTCATAAATAATACAAAAATATCACAGGAATTCAATTATTTACAAATTATTTTCATAAATTATTATTCAATTATTTTCAGAAATAGTAAAACTTATCGCAGACTTTCAATTATTCTTAAAATACAATTTTAATGAAATTCCTCGAAAATTCATCAAAGAAATTCAATTATTTTAAAAAGTTTTGCTGCAATTTATTTATTAGAATTTAAGTATTATTTTCAATACATTTTTAATAAATTTCTTCAAAGAATTAATTTATTTAAAAAATTTTTAATTAAATTTTTTGAAACAATTCAATTTTTTTCAAAATAATTTTAATAAAATTCTTCGTAAAAATTTAATTAATTTCAAAAATTTGTGAAAATTTAATTATTTTCAAATTTTCAATGTTTACTATTTCAATAAAATTTCACAAAAGAATTCAATTATTTAAAAAGAAATTTTAATAAAATTCGTCTCAAGAATTCAATTATTTTCAAAAATAATGTAATTCTTCGCAAAAAATTAAATTATGTTCAAAAGTTTTAAAAAATTCTCGTCAAAATATCAATTATCTTTGTAATGTTTGAATTATTCATAAAATTTTATTAAAATTCGTCGAAAAAATTTGATGATTTAAAAATTTATTGATAAAATTCTTTATGAGAATTCAATTTTAAGAAACATTCAATTATTCAATAAATTATTTATTTTTATATTTAAAAATTCTTTAAAATAAATAAATAAATAAATTAATAAATAATTGAATTCTTGTAGAATTTTCTAATAAATATCTATTAAAAAATGGATTTCAGTTAAAATTTTAGATAAAAGAACATTAAAAGCATTACAGCGGAAATTTTTAGAGATAATTTAATTTTGAAAAGGTTTCAAATTAAAATCTTTGGAAATCAGAATTTTCCATACTTTTAATTAACAATTCTGCAAAATTAATTTTTTTTTTTGAAAAAGTTCAATTGAATTTCTTTAAAAATTATTTTATGTTTTTATTCTATAATATATAATTAATTGAAGAATTTCCTAATGAACGAAATTTCGAGTAAAATTCAATTGTAAAAAAAATGGATTTAAAAATTATTAAAAAACTTTTTCAAAAATTATTTAAAATAATTGATTGAAAGAAAATTTTTAGTAAAAATTCTAAAAAATAATAATTGAATTGAATTGATGAAAATAGTTTTGTAGAAATTACAGTAACAATATTCTGATAATATAAAATAATGATTCTATCACTGGGTCATGTTTAATTATTATAAAATATATGAAGAAATCGATCACGCCGAGTCGAAGACTCCGAGTGCTCGATATCTTTATATTTTATAATAAATATTTTTAAAAGTTATTAAATTTTAAAAGGTTGAATTTGAATCTTTTGAAGAATTTTAATTCCTGGGGAAAAATAATAATGATTAAATATTTATTTAAAAAATAAGTTATTGTTGTTTTTGAATAATTTTTCTTATAAATTGAATCAGCTACAAACTGAAACCCAATCGAATGTTCATCAATTTAAATTTTAAATTATCCTGGAAATTAAATTGTGAAAGAAATTAATTTAAATTTCAATAGATCGAAATTGAAGTTCTATCATTTTTATTCGATTTCAATGAAGAATATATATTTTTTTTCCAAATAAAAAATTTATTTGGCACAAATAAAATATTTATACCTATGGTAAAAATAAAATGTTTTTTTGTGCAGATAAAATTTTTTATTTCAATAAAATAAAATGTTTTTTTGGGCAGATAAAATTTTTTTATTTCAATAAAATAAAATTTATTTGATACAAATAAAAGTTTTATTTCAAATTAGATATAAAATTTATTAGAAACAAATAAAATTTTTATATCAATTAAATTATGAAATAAAAAAGAGTTTATTTCAATTAAATATATATTTACTTGAAAGAGATAAAATTTTATTTCAACTAAAGTAAAATTTATTTAAAAGAAATAAAATTTTTTATTTCAATTATAAATGAAATATATTTGAAAACCAATTATAAAGAAATAAATAAATAGAAAATATATTTTTTGTTCTGAGTGTAAAGTAAAGTAATGTAAAAAAAAAGTAAAGTAAGTAAAGTAAAGTAAAGTAAAGTAAAAAAAAGTAAGTAAAGTTTTTCGTTCATGCGTTAATTATTTATAGAAAGAGAATGAGAGATTGAAATAAATTGTGTGCGTAGGGGTGGGGAGGGGGGAGGGGGGGTTTGAAAAGTTAAAGATAGTCCCGAGGCTGTTAACCAATGGTTTAAAAACGATTGTGCGATAACGTTTAAAAGTGTAAGAATAAAATAACGAATTAAAGTGACCTGCGTAAACACAATGGCTGTCAAATCGAGTAACCGCAAAGGAGAATGAGTCCTAATAGTTGGGAGTCTCGTATATGAGCCGAGGCTCGATGTAATAGCGTCTTTTACGAGCGCAACTAAATCTACCAGAAGGCTTCTGACCTCCTCGCGCACTCCAAATGTCGTGCCACACCAGAGCTTTTTCTTTCTCTTTATTTTCCCCCCTTTTTTTTTCCTTTGCACACTATACAGAAGCGATATCGTCATTTTTTTCATTTGTTCCGTCAAATTAAGTTTAACGCCACAAAACATAAATTTCACAAATTGCCCGTTTCTTTAATTAAATACAGCCATTAATGATTTTCAGATAGAAGAGGTCAAGGAAAAATTAAATGACTTTTTTTTCGGGGAGGAATTAAGTTTTTCACGTTGGGAAAATTTATTTTGGAGAAAATTAAGAAGATTAGGAAAATTAATTAGGAGCATTAATTAAGGGAAATAATAAATAATTTAATTTAATTTTTAATTGTGAAAAGGTATTTTTTTTCTTGTTAATTTTTTTACTTAAATCTAAATTAGACTCTAAAATTTACATTTTCTGTTTGATTAGAAAACGTAAAAAAATTGATTATACATTTTCTTTAGAATAGGTACTTAAATGGAGTTCCAAAAAATGAACATAATTTTTTGGTTAGTTAATTGTAGTGATTAATATTTTCTAAAGAAATGATCTTAAAAAAAATAAGTCATACAGTAAGTTTTATAATCGTTTGTATAGTTTCGAAAAACAAAATGGTAATTACAGTCGCAATGATAGTTTACGAGAAATTGTAGTAATTTATATTTTAGAAACAGTGAATCTCTTTTGATGAATGTTTTTAAATTCTAACAACGCATAGTAGGCGCATTTTCGAGTTATTGTGAAAATAACAATTTTATAAGAATTCAGATAATTATATGAATCTTTGAAAAGACAAGAGCAATCGTATATTATCTTTATGTTCCATGAATTCTTAAAATAAAAGAAAAGAAGAAAAGAAAAGAGAGAAGGAGAAAGAGAGAGAGAGAGAAAAAAATAAAAATAAAAAGACGTTTAAAGACACAAGAGCAATAAAAATTATTGCTTTCCCAGTTGTAATGCAGAGTTTAAAAGATTATATGTTTATTGTTGACTGTTATCGTCATTATTATAATGATTTATTATACCGCTAAGTTTCTAGTGCGAGTAAAAGGTCATTGCTCTAGGAAATATCAGGTGAGGAAAGGAAGTGTCTGTCAGTCCCTGACGTCCAAACATACTGAATATGGCTAACTTCTCTTATAATATTTCATATTTTTTTTTATATATTGTGCAACTTACCAGCCCCTCCGTCGGCACTTGGCCCAAGCATATTGTGCACTCGATTTGCGTAGAGTACGAATGTTGGATATGGGATGTCATATTTTCTGAAAAGAATAACAAAAAAGTCGTTAGTCTCGAAAAGCTAATTGCAATCTACTAAAATCTACTATTTAGTACTTTTTATTACGTTATGATGCTATTTGGGTACTACTATTTGACTAACAAATCAAAAAAAAAATTTATTTCCAAAAAAAGGTCGTATTTTGTTAAAATTTCTTTAAAAAAAAAGTCGAAACTGATATTTCTAAAAATAAGTATAAGAAAAAGGAAAAAAAAAGACGAAGCCTGCTTTTTTTCACCCTCATTATTTTTTTAATCACTATTCTTGATACCCAAAACTGATCTCTTCATCCATAAAAAATTGTGAAAAAAAATATTTTCATTTATTTATAAGATCTAAAAAAGAAGTTCCTGTGTAAAAAACACTCACTACGTATATAATTTATTCAAATTCTCAATAATTAAACCAATGAGAAGCGACAGAACTTAATTGCTTTAATATTTAATTATTAACAATCTGAATAAATGAAGTGAATTTTTTATTTGGGAACATTTGTATAACTTCTTAAATAAATGGAAAATAATTTTTTTCCTCCAAGTTAAATAAAACGTTGTTAAAAAAGAAGCAAGAAATAAAGAAGAAATTCTTGTTTTTTTTATTAATTACCAGAGACTTAAAACAAAAAAAAAAGAAAAGAAAATTCTCATTAAAACTAGCTCAAAGGATACAAGAGAATTTTCAATTAAAAAATTTCTGTGACTTATTACATGGTCACCTGGTTCAATGTTTTTATAGTGCACAAATTTTTTAATTTTCCTTAATTTGAAATATTAATGCGAGACAAATGAATCATATAAAACAAATTTTAGATCGTAAGTTTCGTTTATACAATGCAGTACAAACATTTTTTTTTTTATTTAGGATCTCTCACGATGTTTTTTTTAATTGCTTTAGCTACTGAAATGAAATATTGCACAAGCCTTTAACTTTATTTTCATTTTTCAAACTTTATTGCATTTTTTAACTTTTATATTTCATTTTATCTTAAAATAACATTGCGCAATTATTTCGATTCTTTATATATATACAAAAAGCAGAAGAAAGAAAAGTAGAAAATATCTTGAAACATGAATATTTGTGTTCTTTTTTAAAAAAGTTTTTAAAAGAAGGAAAACAATTACAGAGACTTCGCACTCGATAATTAATTTTTAAAAAGTAATAAAAAGTAACTTTCAAACTAAAAAAATTAGTTATGGAAAAATTAAATTTGACAACCAAAAATACTCGTTTTAGAAACTTTACAAAACTGACAAAAATTCCATTCTATATTTTATTTTCCTGACTTTTTTCTAATTTTTATTAAAAATATTTACTTCTTTCTTATCCTGTTAATAAATTGAATTTCTGCAACGAAATTTTATAATTCATGAAAGAATTTTCGGGAATAATTTTATTTATTTATCTTTAATAATTGAATTCTTTCGAAGAATTATTCATGTAAATAATTGAATTCTTGGGAAGAATTTTATTAAAATCTAAAAGAATAATTGAATTATTTCAAAAAAATTTAATTAAAATTGTATTTAAAATAATTAATTATTATGAAAAATTTTATTATAATGTTTAAAAATAATTTAACTCCTGTGAAAAATTATAATATTTTTTTAAATAATTGAATTCTTCCAAAGAATTTTCAAAAAAACATTTTTTTGAATAATTGATTTTTCGAGGAATTGAAATTAAATTTTTAAGAATAACTACATTTTTTGAGTAATTTCTGTAAAGTTGTATTAATAATAATTGAAATCCTGAGAAGAATTTTATTATTTATAATAATAATAGAATAGTTGCAAAGAATTTTATTAAAATTTTCAAAAATAATCGAATTCCTGAGAAGAATTTCATTGTTTATAAAAATAATTGAATTATTGCGAAAAATTTTATTAAAATTTTTAAAAGCAATTGAATTCTTCAGAAAAGTTTTATAAACATTGTTTTAAATAATTAATTTTTTTGAAATATAATAAATATTTATGACAATTTTATTTTAAATAATTAAATTCTTGTGGAAAACTTAATTTGTGAAAATAATTGAATTTTTCGATTAATTAATTTAAAATTCAATGATTTTCAATATCTACTATTTTAATAAAATTTTCCAGAAGAATTCAATTATTTAAAACAAATTTTGATAAAATTCTACGAAAGCATTGAATAATTTTCATAAATAATAAAAATATCATAGAAATTCAATTATTTACAAATTTGTTATTGATTTCTTCGTAATAATTCCATTATTTTCATAAACTATACAATTTTTTACAGAGATTAAATTATTTCAGTAAATAATAAAATTCTTTTTAGAAATTCAATTATTTTCATAAATAATAAAACTCATCTCAGAATTGGAATTATTTTTAATTCAATTTTATACAAATTCCTCGATAAAATATAATTATTCTTAAAAATTTAATTAAAATTTAGCAAAGAAATTCAATTATTTTAAAAACTTTTGCTACAATTTATTTATTACAATTTAAGTATTATTTTCAATACATTTTTAATTAAATTTCTTCAAAAAATGGAATTTGTTTGATAAATAATGAAATTCTTTGTCAGAATAAAATTTTTTTCAAAATAATTTTCATAAAATTCTTCGTTGAAATTTAATTAGTTTCAAAAATTTGTCAAAATTCAATTATTTGCAATGTCTACTATTTTAATAAAATTTCACAAAAGAATTCAATTATTTAAAAAGAAATTTCAATAAAATTCGTTTCAAGAATTCAATTATTTTCAAAACTATTATAATTCTTCGCAGAAATTCAATTATGGTCAAAGGTTTAAAAAAATTCTCGTAAAAATTTTAATTATCTTTATAAAAAATAAAATTCCTGTCCGAAATTCAATTATTTTCAAAAATTATAATGAAATTCTTGTTAAAATTTCAATTATTTACAATTTTTATCAAAGTTCTCGAAAAATGAAATTATTCTTAAAAATTTTACTAAAATTTGTCAAGAGAATTAAATTATTTTAAAATTTTGTTGATAAAATTCTTTATGAAAATTCAATTTTAAGAAACATTTGGTTATTTAATAAAATATTTATTTTTGTAGTTAAATAATTGAATTCTCGTAGAATTTTCTAATAAATATTTATTTAAAAATGAATTTCAATTAAAATTTGAGGTTAAAATTGAATATTGAAATCATTATAGCGTGGATTTTTGGAAATAATGGAATTTTCAATAGGTTTCAAATGGAAATTTTTGGAAATTTTTTACTTTTCATACTTTTTAATTAACAATTCTGTAGAATTAATTTTTTTCAAAAAGTTAAATTGAATTTTTCTTTATTTATATTTAAAGTTTTTATTTTCTAATATATAATTGAAGAATTTCTAAATAAACGAAATTTCGTGTAACATTGAATTGTAAACAAATGAATTTGAAAATTATTTAAAAAACTGTTTTAAAAATGATTAAAAATAATTGTTTTAAAGAAAAATTTTACTTAAAAATTCTAAAAAATAATAATTCAATATTGAATTGATGAAAATAATTTTAAAAAAGTTATAGTAACAATATTCTTATAATATAAAATAATGATTCGTAAATAAATGTAATAGAATATTTTTTGAGTTCGTAATAATTTTGAGAGTGAATCAAAATATTCTTTTAGGGTTAAGGAAAAAGTGAAAATTTTGTCTGGAAATTAGGGAAAAGTTCTAGGAAAAACAAAATTAAATTTTTGTAGCAATTGGGAAATATTTTTATTTATTCTCAATTAATCTACTTTTTCTACTTATTTATATTTGGAAAAAACGAAGAAAGTAAATTTTACTATTTTTACAGTAAAACTTAAACTGTCAGGATCATCTGCTAATTTTTGGTAACTTTTACTATTTTCAGACTAAATTTTGCTACGTTCGAAGTAAATTTTTACTAATATTTTTTTTTTTACAATAATTTACTTCGGACGTAGTAAAATTCACTGAAAAAAATAGTAAAAATTTCCAAGAATGAGCAGAAGATTCAGACAATTTTGTTTTACTTTCTAAATAGTAAAAGTTACTCTATATTTTTCCCCGTGTAGTAATTTTATTAATTTACATTACATTTAATTTTGAAAAAGTTTCAAATTAAAATCTTTGAAAATCTGAATTTTTTATACTTTCAACTAACAATTTTGCAGAATTAATTTTTACATTATCATCAAAAATGAGAAAGTCTTGTTTTGAAAAAGTTTAACTGACTCACTCGATAAAATCATTATTATTATATAATAATATTCTTAAAAGTTATTGAATTTTAAAAGGTTTGAATTTGAATCTTTTGAAGAATTTTAATTCCTACGGAAGAATAATAATTAAATATTTATTTAAAAAAAAAAGTTATTGTTGTCTTCGACTAATTTTACAAATTGGAGAATTCGTAAATAAAAATAGAACATTTTTTTGAGTATTTAATAATTTTTAGAATGAATCAAAATATTCTTTAGGGTCCGGGGAAAGGGAAAAAATTTTGTCTGGAAATCAGGGAAAAGTCGCAGGGGAAAAAGAAAATAAAATTTTTGTAACAATCCTGATTAAGTCACATTTTTGATTTGGAATGTTGATAAATAAAAAAAAACGAAGTCTCATTAGTGAATTGATAAAATGATGAATGGTTTTTTAAAGAAGAGGGATTTTTATGATGGACAGGTGGTTATAGATATATATACGTATCATATGTAGGGATATTTAAAAATATAATTTGCAAACGCACCTGGCAGCTTGACTAAGGGACAGTCCCTCCTTGAGAACACTGAAGATCGCCTCCGCCATAGTTTCTGGCCTCCAGGACTTGAGAGGTCCGCGTTCTCGGAAGCGAAGGTTGTGTACCAGACTCTGATTGGTGTTCCAACACTTTTGCCACATGGACTGCAGCTGGTACTGGTAGCTGTCTGTTGTAACGTCCCCCCATGAAAAAGAAAAGGGAATTCCATTAGTACTTGAAGATTCTCACAAAAACATTATTACAATATAATCTCATTAAAATCAAAATACATACGTACGTTTATAAATGTCAAGCAAAATTTGCGCATATTTTTTTTTTTTTTGTTTCTTAATGATAATTTCTACACATAATATATATTCTGTTCTCGAAAAAAAATTTCTTCTTGCTAATTAATTGTATTTGCTCGAATAAAACAAAATGGATTCGAGACTCGTATTATAAATTTATAATTAATGCCTATTTGGGTCCGCGGATTTTATTTTTCTTTTCTTTAGAAGTTGAATAATTAAATAGTTTTGTATTGATATTCTTATTTGTATGTCGAAATTAATTATACATAGAAATTGAAATTATAATTAATACGTGGACTGAAATTATTAAATATTAATACATGAATTGCAATTATTAATACGTGGATATTAATTAATAATTTAATACAAAGATAGAAATTTTATTTATACAATACTTGATGATACCTTGAAGAGAAGGTCGTCTGAAAACAAAAAAGAACTCTGGAAATAATTATTTTTTCCCCATTTCACTGAATAGGATTTAAATAAAAATTATTTGATTTAAACAAAAATTATTTGATTCAAGTAAATATTTATTTGACAATGGACAAGTAATCCACTGTTTGGATCAAACAAATTTTTTTTTCTCAGTGTTCGCTTCATTTATTCGGATGAGAGAATTATATTGAGAATTTTTTTTCTCCCACAACATTCGGCATAAACTTGTGTGCGATATTTTATTTCTTCATCGTAGAAGTCGTAATATATTTGAGAGAAAAAAAAATTAATGAAATAATCTAGAATCGTTTCTTCAAAGGGGTTTCTTTAGTTATTAAACGTTAGATTCATCTCGAGAAAAAATTATAGTTAATTGACTACTTTGAGAACGGAAATCGAGTTTTTTTTTTGTTCCTTAATTAGAGCTTCTAATTAATTAATAAACCAGTAAAAATTTTGTTTTCGAATCTCTTGTGTGAATATAAAAATTTAACTATTATAATTTAATTTCAATTTATTCAAAATTTAAAAAATATGAATTTTAATTATTAGGATATTTATATAGATGGAATTATAAAAGAAATAAAATATGAATTCACCTTTTCACGTTATTTCAATGAAAAAATGTGAACCAGATATTTATTGGTCTTGTTAAATTTTATATTTCTCGTTCCTTTAACTGTAATACAATTATTAATCTAAAATTTAAAATTTATTAACAATAAAAGCATAAAGTAATATTTAATATTAATAAAAGTACAAAATAATAGAGGGAAAATAAATAATAAAAGAAAATAAGTAATAAATTGAAAACAATAAAAAAAAGCAGCAAATTTAAATATGAGTATTATTTAAATATGATAGAATATATAGCGTGTTAAAAATACGAAACGATTTTCGTGTGTTGAAATATTAAATTAATGTCGAGTTGGAGCGAATAAAAGAAATTATAAAAATACACGAGGTTTAAAAAAGAGAAATATAAAATTCATAAACTTTTGTTTATAAACTCTCCCGAATAAATAAACTTTTGTTATTAGGTTTAAATTTTTGAAAGAAAACACACATTTCTAGGGGTAAAAAAAATTGATGAAATATTTTACTTGGAAAATAATAATATGCAGTGAAAAACTAATTTGCTAACAAATAGCATAAAATTAATTAAGTTAAAATTGAGGAATACATTTTGTTCTGTGAAATATTTTTTGCAAAAAAATAAAATAGAAAAGGAAATAATTTCATGGTTGCCACAGAGACGGGATATTCTGGAAAACCTGGAAAAGGTATGGAATTTAAAAAAGGGTATGAAAAACCTGGAAATAGAATGGAATTTAAAAAAATTTCTGGAATTTCCCCTGTTTTTAAAAATTTTTAACAAAATTTTAATTTAAAATTGAAAATATAACATTTTTTACAGGGAGTCAATTATTTTCATAAATACATAATAAAACTCATTGCAGACTATCAATTGTTTTTAATTTTTAATACAATTATAAAAGAATTCCTCGAAAAATGTAATTATTCACAAAAATTTTATTAAAATTCATCAAAGAAATTCAATTGTTTTAAACATTTTTGGTACAATTTATTTATTACAATTTAAGTATTATTTTCAATACATTTTAAATTAAATTTCTTCAAAAAAATTGAATTTGTTTCATAAATAATGAAATTCTTTGTAAAATAAAATTTTTTTCAAAATAATTTTCATGAAATTCTTCGTCGAAATTAAATTAACTTCAAAAATTTGTCTAAATTCAATTATTTTCAATGTCTACTATTTCAATAAAATTTCACAAAAGATTTCAATTATTTAAAAAGAAATTTTAATAAAATTCGTCTCAAGAATTCAATTATTTTTAAATGTAATGTAATTCTTCACAAAAATTCAATTAAGATCCAAAGTTTAAAAAAAATTTCGTCAAAATTTCAATTATCTTTATAAATAATAAAATTCTTCTCCGCAATTCAATTATTTTCAAAAAATTTAATAAATTTCTTGGCAAATTTTCAATTATTTTAAAAAAATTTCCTCAGTTCAATGATTTTTAATATCTACTATTTTAATAAAATTTTTGAAAAGAATTTAATGATATCTAAAACAAATTTTGATGATATTCTACGAAAGCATTTCATTATTTTCACAGGAATTTAATTACCTATTTACAAATTTGTTAAAAAGTTCTTCGTAATAATTCTATTATTTTCATAAACTATATAACATTTTTTTCAGAGATTCAATTATTTTCGTAAATAATAAAAAATTTGTTTTATGAATTCAAATATTTTCAAAAATAATAAAACTCATTGGAGAATTTCAATTGTTTTTTTTAATACAATTTTAATCAAATTCCTCGTAAAATGAAATTATTCACAAAAATTTTATTAAAATTCATCAAAGAAACTCAATTATTTTAAAAATTTGTTGTACAATTTATTTATTACAATTTAAGAATTATTTTCAATACATTTTAAATTAAATTTCTTCAAAAAATTGAATTATTTTCATAAATAATGAAATTCTTTGTAAAATAAAATTTTTTTCAAAATAATTTTCATAAAATTCTTTGTCGAAATTAAATTAACCTCAAAAATTTGTCTAAATTCAATTATTTTCAATGTCTACTATTTCAATAAAATTTCACAAAAGATTTCAATTATTTAAAAAGAAATTTTAATAAAATTCGTCTCAAGAATTCAATTATTTTTAAATGTAATGTAATTCTTCACAAAAATTCAATTAAGATCCAAAGTTTAAAAAAAATTTCGTCAAAATTTCAATTATCTTTATAAATAATAAAATTCTTCTCCGCAATTCAATTATTTTCAAAAAATTTAATAAATTTCTTGGCAAATTTTCAATTATTTTAAAAAAATTTCCTCAGTTCAATGATTTTTAATATCTACTATTTTAATAAAATTTTTGAAAAGAATTTAATGATATCTAAAACAAATTTTGATGATATTCTACGAAAGCATTTCATTATTTTCACAGGAATTTAATTACCTATTTACAAATTTGTTAAAAAGTTCTTCGTAATAATTCTATTATTTTCATAAACTATATAACATTTTTTTCAGAGATTCAATTATTTTCGTAAATAATAAAAAATTTGTTTTATGAATTCAAATATTTTCAAAAATAATAAAACTCATTGGAGAATTTCAATTGTTTTTTTTAATACAATTTTAATCAAATTCCTCGTAAAATGAAATTATTCACAAAAATTTTATTAAAATTCATCAAAGAAACTCAATTATTTTAAAAATTTGTTGTACAATTTATTTATTACAATTTAAGAATTATTTTCAATACATTTTAAATTAAATTTCTTCAAAAAATTGAATTATTTTCATAAATAATGAAATTCTTTGTAAAATAAAATTTTTTTCAAAATAATTTTCATAAAATTCTTTGTCGAAATTAAATTAACCTCAAAAATTTGTCTAAATTCAATTATTTTCAATGTCTACTATTTCAATAAAATTTCACAAAAGATTTCAATTATTTAAAAAGAAATTTTAATAAAATTCGTCTCAAGAATTCAATTATTTTTAAAAGTAATGTAATTCTTCACAAAAATTCAATTATGTTAAAAAATTTACTAAAATTCTCGTCAAAATTTCAATTATTTTTATAAAAAATAAAATTTCTCTCCGATATTCAAATATTTTCAAAAATTATAATAAAATTCTTGAAAAAATTTCAATTATTTACAATTTTCATCAAAGTTCTCGAAAAATGAAATTGTTCTTAAAAATTTTATTAAAATTCATCGATGAAATTCAATTATTTTAAAAATTTGTGGTACAATTTATTTATTACAATTTAAGTATTATTTTCAATAAATTTTTAATTAAATTTCTTTAAAAATTGAATTATTTTCATAAATAATGAAATTCTTTGTAACAATAAAATTATTTTCAAAATAATTTTCATAAAATTCTTCGTAGAAATTTAATTAATTTCAAAAAATTTGTCAAAATTCAATTATTTTCAATGTCTACTATTTCAATAGAATTTCACAAAAGAATTCAATTATTTAAAAAGAAATTTTAATAAAATTCCTCTCAAGAATTCAATTATTTTTAAAAGTAATGTAATTCTTCACAAAAATTCAATTATGTTAAAAAATTTACTAAAATTCTCGTCGAAATTTCAATTATCTTTATAAAAAATAAAATTCTTCTCTTAATTTCAATTATTTTCAAAAATTATAATAAAATTCTTGGAAAATTTCAATTATTTAGGTACAATTTTTATTAAAGTTCTCGAAAAATGAAATTATTCTTAAAAATTTTACTAAAATTTGTCAAGTGAATTAAATTATTTAAAAATTTTGTTGATAAAATTCTTTGTGAAAATTCAGTTTTATAAAATATTTATTTTTGTAGTTAAATAATTGAATTCTCGTAGAATTTTCTAATAAATATTCAT